GGAAGTCGCGACAGCACAGGGACACCCTGCTAGACTAGGCCTTTCTTGAACTGCCACGGCACTGGGCACTCACTTTTCAAAGAGATGCAGACTCAAAGGTCCCATTGGGGAATCGGCTGTGGCCTCTTCCCTCTGCTGGATGTATTCAGACCCACTCCCGTGTTTGGGCGATTCTGTCATCCGCTATGGGCCGGCTGCAGAGTGGACATAAGCCGTAATTGTCCTGGTACCTGAAGGAGGAGATTTTAGTTACACGCCCATGGGGTACGCCTGGAATTCTGGAACAACCAGTCCCAGACTTTGCTCCCCTGTATGCAGCTGAGTTAACTGCTATGACATCTGTATACACAAGTGTGTCATTCATGGATTATTTACTGGGGCGGCCAAACTTACTGGCCCTCCGAGCCGCATACAACAATCTGCAGAAGTTTGGGAGCCCCAGCAGGCATGTCCCAGGGGGCTGGAGCCCCGAGCCCCCCTCCCTGCTGGGCAGAACCCAGAGGCAACACATGGGGGGGCACATGGGGTCACGTGCCCCCGCATATTTTTGCCAGGGTTTGCTGGCCCCACTCGATCACATGGTGCCGCCAGGCCCCCTCCCTGCACGGCAGCTGCTGGAGCTGACAAGCTGGGAGCTGCGACCCTAGGGAGAGGCAGCATCAAACAGCTGGGAGCTGCAGGGAGAGCTGCTGAGGGCAAGGGGGGGGGCAGGCATGGGGGGCTGCGACTCACGCTGTTGGCGGGAGGCCAATTCTCAGCAGGTACCAGTCGTCTCTGGCAGAAGCCCCACTGCAGGGTAGAAGCCTTGCTCTTCTTCCCCCCCCCCCCGCCCAGTCTCCAGGAGCCTTGGTTTGGCCACCCCTGGATTATTACAATCCAAAGTGATGCAGAATTCCCCAGAAACCCGAGAGTCTTAACCATCCCAGGTACTGCGGCCCTGTGATACAACGGCACGGCTTAGGCAAACCTTCGCTTGGAATTCTCTAGCTTTTGAGGGTATAACCAAACCTTCAGCAGACCTTTGGTCTGGTTTTCTGGCCCTTCGTGGAGGCTAGCATTTAGACCAGGTGCTCTGCATCGTGGGGATTCATGTTTTCTTCCCAACTGCCAATGACCCCAGCTGTGACCTTGGATAAGTTCCCTACCCTCTTGTGCCTCAGATTTCCCCATCCGTGCAATGAGAGAGACAGTACTTATCTCACAGGCTGGCGCGTGGCTTAATTCTGTAAAGAGTTTTAGAGCCTCCACTGAAGCAGCAACGTTTTACGTTTGTGGCTGAATCTCAAGATACTTTATAACAGCCTTACCATGACGGGGAAAATTAATTAATTTCCCTTTTCATTAAACAGCGATAGCCCAGCATTTGTCAGTATAGAGTCCCTTAATTATAGCTTACTGAAAACAATATATAGTTAATTTATTTTAGTCAGAAAATTTGGTGCCAAATCCCTAGATTACACAGAGTTGTGATGTGATGGTTTTGTTATTAGACAAAACACAAATTAAAAACCACATCCACTCATGCAGCAAAATCCTCCCATCTTATCAAGTGACAGACTCATCAGCCCTGCGATGCAAACTGTAAGAGATGTACAATTACACAGTTGCTGCAGATAAGACAGTCTTCTGGCTGTACATCTCCATGTCCAAAACCCATTAGTTCTTTTCAAAATCCGTAATAAATTTCAGCAGAGTTACATAGTTTTCTTTGTATTGTATCGCCACATGACTACTCAATATATGTTGCATAAACTGATATGCTGGAGAAGTGAGTTAACCATAATTTGATTGTCTACTGATACTAGAAAATTCAGAAGGCATTCCAATGAATAATTCATAGGACTTTAGTATCAAAAGTCAGTGTTCTAGGCATTGCATTGGGTAGTAAAACACATTCTATTTTAAAAATAAAATATTGAGCAATTACTTTCAGCAAAACCGAGTCCATAACTTTAAATTTGGTTTTACAAATCCAGCTGTAACTCGGCAGATATGTAAAACTCATCCACCTGCTCTGTCCCTAAAGCCTACTCTATTTGCAGGTAGCACCACCTCTGGTATTTCCACTGAGATTTCGAACCAATCCCTTTATCTCTTATCCTAGGCACTGTACCAGAAAAAGGCAAATACTAGAAAGATATTGTTCATACACCTGCTTACTAGCAACTTGAAAGGAACATTGATCTCATGGAAATCCTCCAAGAAATAGAAGAGATCTGAGGAACTACTGAAAAGAATCCTGGGGGGAAAAGGGGGAAAGAAGTTATTAGAGGAAAAGTGCATGTTTTCTACAGAATGAATCTAAATGCTCTGTGCTGTATCTAGGCATTAAGGACACTAAAAAGCTGACAAGGACATATTTTTGCTTGGTTTAGATCATAGGCACAGCAAGTACCTAACACTTCTATCTACACTTGGGGCAAGATTCTTACACGTTTTGAGCTACTGCCTACCAAAAAAAGAAAAGGAAGGAGCAGACAGGCCCAGCAGGAAAGGTGTTCTAGGATGGTAACAGATAAAGAACAGGTCACTGATTTATTATAGGGTCACAATCAGTATTCAGCTAGATATATCAGTCAGCAAAGCAGTGTGAAAAACAGGGCCAAAAGCTACTGTTACCGTGATGCAAAAGGAGTGACATCATGCTATGGAAGGTGCTACGGTATATGCCCCAAGTCCATGCTGTTAGTACAGCTAGTCAAGCAGCAAAACAACCGATTCACAGATAAAGCACCAATTCCAACATGCTACAGGTCACAGGGCTATCAGCTAGTCAGGAGACTGCTACATAGTTGTGAAAGTGTTCACAAATCCCAGATTTACAACATTTTAACACAAATGTCTGAACATTCAAACCAGCGGCTCATAGCTTGTTCTGCTGTTTAAAAAAAAAAAAAAGGCTCACTCAATCAGGGAGTAGACACAAAACCGTGCAAGTTCGAGAACCGATCTCACAACAAGAAACATGAATTTCAAACAGTCCAGAGCCTGCAGAGTCCTTACAAACAACAAATACCCCAGCAGAAATCAGGAATAGTCCAGGAATGATTGTAGTCCATCATGGGTTAGCCATTCATGACAGGTTTCAGAGGGGTAGCCATGTTAGTCTGTATCAGCAAAAACAAGGAGTCGTCCTTGTGGCACCTTAGAAACTAACAAATTTATTTGGGCATAAGCTTTCGTGGGCTAAAACCCACTTCATCCGATGAATGGAGTGAAAAATACAGTAGGCAGTACAGTATTTGTATCACAGCACATGAAAAGATGGGAGTTGTCTTACCAAGTGGGGGGTCAGTGCTAACGAGGCCAATTCAGTCAAGGTGGAAGTGGCACCAGCCAGCACAGGTGCAGTATTTCCCAAATGTCAGGTGGACCGTGTCCATGTGGGCGTGGTTTGTTCGGTGCGTGGGGGCCCGAACTGGTCTGCCCTGGGGCCTGGAATTGCTGTCCGCGGGCCTGATCCACTTCCGTGTTGTCAACAGGACATAAAAACATGCTTAAGAACTTTCATGAACCAGGGAGTTCAAGTAGTACACACGCACATAATGTCCGAATGTCTTCAAATCGTTTGTAATTAACCGTAGCCAAAAAAATTATGTTCTCTCTGTACTAGTTCAAGTGACATAACTTCCTTCAAGTTTAAGAATCAACTCTGCATGAAGTTTAAAAAAAAATTATATATATATATATAGTAAAACCACAGGCAGCTCTGCTTCCAAGAAAACAACGTAGGGGACCTCTGGTGAGGTTATTTTATATTTAATTGACAAGAAATGCATTATTTTAAATATTGATTGCACAAAGAGCAGGTTTACTCACCCCCACAGAGCAATTCTCAGGACAGATGCAGACTAAGCACCGCCACACTAATTTACAGACAGGCTCAGAAAATGCAGCTTTGTGTGCGAGGGAGAAAACAGGTGTGTGTTTGATTTCAGGCATTAGTTATTAAATAAAGAATGAACAGATTTTAAAAGGCACATGCTCCGAAGCAGGAAAGTTCTGCCCGTCTCAAATAAATTCTCTTTCCCTGGACTGAAGGTTGCATCATGCCTAGTGGGAGGCTAAAAAGAGGAAAATATCTCAAGACGCCATCATGTTCACACAGCATCAGGAGACGTGATTGGTTCAGGGACAGACAACGGGACTCCAAGTCTCTTTCATCCTTAGGCCAATGGCTCAAATCCAGCCGAGATAGGGTGACCAGATGTCCCAATTTTATAGAGACAGTCCCGATATCTGGGGCTTTTTTTTATATATATATATGGGCTCCTATTACCCTCCACTCCCTGTCCTGATTTTTCACACTTGCTATCTGGTCACCCTAAGCCGAGGTGAGGACGTGACTGAAGGTTGTTCCTCTGGTGGGCAATGGGACATGACTCAGCCTGCAAGTCCAGAACTGGGGGACACGTGCTCCCCATGACAACTGAGCGCCTCTCAGTGGAAAGGCCAGCCTGTTCACGCATTGCATCTCAGTGGCCCTTCAAGGCTAGCCCAGGCCCATTAGTATTGGTGATGCCTTTTGAGTTTTCACTGGCCCTGCCCATGCTCTAACCATCTGTGGGGAGGGAAGGGACTCCACCCCCTAAGACCGTCAGTCTGGTACATTCCACTAGAGCGAACCTGATTCAACAGTGCAAACACAGAGGAAAAACACATGCAGTCCCTCAAGCCAGGCAAGCACAAAGTGTGGTGTCCCCCTCCCCCTCCTCAAAGCAAACACCCAGCAACATGCCCCCTTTGGGTGGGGCTGTCCTAAAGGAGGTGGCGAAGAGACACCTGGGATGCACAGAAGACAGGACCCTCTGACTGCTCCCCATTGGAACATGGCCTTCACCAATTATCACGTGTCTTTGTTGGACTGAGTGGGGGCTTTCCTCGAACTAGAATCGGGGTTCTCCATGGAGATGCACCTTTATGCACAGGAACCCCCACGCCTGAAGCCATCCATGGCATAATCCCACTGACATCAACAACGCTTAACCCCAATTATTTACCCTTCCTTGTAGTGGAGAGCAGAACGCAGCACTACACATCCCCCCTCAGTTCTCTCATCCAGACAGGGGCAGGCTGGCGAAATTTACAGAGCATTAGTGGGTTGGGTCTTCAGTTGGTGCAAAGAGGCCCAGCTCCATTGAAGTGAACTAAAATACGCTGGTTTATTTACACAAGCTGTACTACGAAGAATTTGCCCTCCATGTCAGCAAGATACTTCCAAATAAAGTTGCTTTTCAACTGCTTCGTTGAAAGACACACTGGCCGGCCCCGGACATATATACGTGAAGCAGCCACAATCCTGGCTCCACATTAAAGAAATGGCAGCAAAACTCCAGCTGAGAGAGAACTTTGAACATCTAAGCCTGCCCAGAATGGGATTTCAAAGGGAAAACCACTGAACTTTCCCAGGGCTGTTATCTGGAAATATTACGCAGCCTGGCTTGAGGCTGCTTTCAACACCCAAGGGCAGCAAGCCGACAGCAGCATGCATGGAAAGCAGGTTCTGCCAGGGAAAAATCAAACACCAGCTGTGGCTATAAACGACAACTGGGTGAATCCTGAAAAATACATTATTTGACTGTCGACAGATGTTTGCAAATAAACACCCACCTATTTGTCCCGAGTGGATCTCCGACCCCTTGTAGGTTCCATAGCCATTCCGGCGAATGGTTTTTTTCCCTTTTCTTCTCCTCTCTTTCTTCTTTCCCCCAGTTCCTGGAGTACAACCACAGGTGTGAGCGGAGCTTGTGCAGACATACCCAAGCCAGCTTTAACCTACCTAGCTCAGGGACCAGAACAGCAAAGTCTCCCAATTAATTACCCAGGGCTCCAGGTGCGCTTACACAGCCCGTATGGATGCCCATCTTGCCAAAGCGTCACTGCTCCGGTATCCCAGCCAGCTAGATAAAGCTAGCTCAGGTATGTCTATGCAAACTGCAGTCACTCCCTGAAGTGGAGACTTACCCCCCTAGGCTCTGCTTTACTGAGCGCCACAATCACTACCTAGCGGAGCTAGTGAAAAAGGATCCGATTTTTTTTAAATGGACAAATTTTCAGAAATTCAGCAACAAAGATGTGGAAGGGGAATTTAGACATCCTTTTTTTGGGCAAATTCTTCTTCCTGATTTTTTGCCCAGCTGTAGAAGGGGTTGGCGTTGTCAGAATCGGAAGGGTGTTTCTAGTTTTGAAACAAAAAAGAAGCATAAATGATGTCTGGCCGGATTCAACAAACCTGAAGAATCAACGCCATGTACGTTTCGCTGATCTGTAACTACTACACAGTTCTATGGCCCAGCCTGTGTGTCTGGGCACCGCACAGGGAACAGCCACGTCTCCCACTCATGGTCCTTTTCCTACATCTGCTGCAGCCCCCTGTTCTAGGGTGACCAGATGTCCCGATTTTATAGGGACAGTCCCGATTTTGGGGTCTTTTTCTTCTATAGGCTCCTATTACTCCCCCCACCCCCGTCCCGATTCTTCACACTTGCTGTCTGGTCACCCTAGTCATCCCCCGCTCAGAAGCACTGGAACTAGAGGGGCAGCAGCACTCCCTGGATTGAAGCATAGGGCCCATCTTGTTCAATGGCTTTCAGCACAGCCACTATAAAAATTGTTCCAGCACCCCTGCCTGCACCTTCCCACCCTGCTCCTCTCCTGGCTTCCTCCCAAACCACCCTCCCTTCCTTCCAGGCACAGTGCAAAACCTGGGAAATGATTACATTAAGGGAAAGCCTCATGCATCAGCCCGGAGACATCGTCCAGAAGCGTTCAGGAAGCCATCTTTTTGACTGCTCTCCTCTTAGGAAAAAAAAAAAAAAGGAGGGACGCAAAAACCAGTCATCCAATCAGGAAACAGCAACGATACCATTTGGCTTCAGCAACCAATCACTCCCCACATAATCAGAGCCACGGTTAAACCAAATAACCCATAGGCTGAAGCACGTTTGCACGACGTTTGTACGGTTACAACAAACAGGTTCACAGTCATCATCATGAGTTCATGCATCATTCACAGGTAGGAGGAGAGGGTGAAAGTCAAACTGATTATTTGCTAAGAACAGGTCCCCTAGCTCACCTACATGGAGTGTCAGGATCTTGGGATGGTGGATAGCAGTTCGTTCTGAAGGAGGACACAGACCTAGTTCTGCCCCATTGGACCTGTGGCAGAATTTGCAGCTAATCCCAGGGTACTTTCCTGTTCCATACGGAGCGTTAGACAAGCACAGACCAGAAATACCGGACCACTGTCCTCCCACAGACAAGTGACATCAAAATCCTTGGCTAGTGGTCTGCTTACTTCGTGCCTTTCTCCCATTGGCCACTTGCAGGCCCAATGAATCACCGAAGGCTTGGTCTATACGCAAACTCATACCAGTTTAACTAAAGGTATGTTCTCAAACCAAGTTAGCTAAATCAGTGCATGCCCTTGTGTGGCCACCCTTGAAACCTGTTTTTTAAATGGTTTCTGTTGACTGGAAGAGCGCGTGCAGCAAAGACCCAAGAGACACCCACAATCTCTGAAGAGCTCAACACAAGACTTAATGCGCGACACCAAAATATGAGTCACACAAGAGACTGGAAATGCTTCCTCCCTTCCGGATTCCTTCCTCTAGGGCAGAGGACTGCCTACAACCTCAGCTCTGTGATTCTTCATTACTGGGGTAAATAATTCCACAATAAGAGTGAGGGGAGCTCACAAAATCCATGTGGAAAGGAGGAAGTTTTGGGACCAAAACAAATATCATCCCTTAAAAGGAGACACATTGGAGGGGCATGGACAGACCCTCTAGTCTACAAGATATCCCCAAAAGGCAGCAACTTTGTGCCTCCCGCACATAAGAGGGAGGAAAACATGTGCATCCCCTCCTTTGTCTCCCTAGGTTACTGGATCAACACCAGCTGTGGTTATGAACCACAACTGGATGAAAACCTTAGGTCAGTTTTCCTTGCAACGTTCATGGAGCCAAACTCCACTAAACGGCTACTCTTGGGCATTTACTCTCTCATAAAAATCTGGTTTCACAGCCTTGGATTCTCCTCTCTCTGGACTGCTGTCCCTTAAATAAAACACGAAATGATACAAACAGGTCGTTTTGGAGACAGGCAGGGCCCTGGTGGCAAAGGGCTGCCATCCTGGGGGCTGCCCTGAGAAATGGCAGCACAAATCTCTAACGCCGAAGAGAATTACTCACCTCTTGGTGCTGGATGGGCGTCCAGCCTTCGGGAGCTCGATCCTGGCTCACCAGCGGCGTGGCATGGTCGCCCCTAAAGAACAAGCCCTTCACAGCGGAGAGAGCGTCTTCGCAGGACACAATTGCCACTTAGAGACATGGGGTGTTTGGAAAGAATCCGTTACCACCTGTCCGGGCTGCAACTCGCCTACAGGAGGCCACAGGCTGAGCGGGCCATGGAGGCTGACCTCCCTTGCTCCCTGAATAGGTCACGTCCAGGTAAGAGCAGACACATAATGGCACGTGGGGGTTGTCTGAAGCGTGTGCTGTGGTTGCCCGTGGTTTAACTGTTCTGCAGATCAACTGAGGTCTCCAGCCTCCAGGGCTGTCACCAGCACTAAACAGACACAAAACTTTTATGTTTAAAGAGAAATATTTTCTCTGGCTGACTGTTTGGAAAGCTGGGCCTGTGCGGTGGCACGTTGAAAGGGCTCCTTGAAATTTAGCAGCAAGCCTGAGTTAGACGGGGGTGCCCATGGTGTCAGTTCTCAGCCCTGAACGGGAAGAATGCAGCTGGCAGCTGAGGAGCTGGCATACGCTACGCCAATGCACCAGGGAGCCGAAGGGCTTTGAAATGCTGAGAGAACGCAGGAAATGTGCAACTCAACAGCACGAGGCTGCCATAAGCAACGACACAGGATCTGCTGCAACGTGCTCTCCAGCTCCATCTCACCAAAGCGAGTTACCTGCTCTGCCATCAGCCGTTCTCTCGGTTTGCTGGATTCTTGTTTATTTACGTTTAATATTCAGGTAAACACTATGTCTGATGCTAATGGGGGGAGACGAATCCATTTCATTCCCTCATTATTCGCATTCGTATCCAGGCTCTGTTGACACGACGGGTTTGGAATACTGATGGGCTCAGTGAGCGGATCTTTGGCTGAGTGGCTCACGCAGCAGGTTTGTTTACAGGCTCCAGAGGTGGGGCTGCAGGAGAGCAAAGTATCCCAGCTCTGTTTGCGTGCTGGGTGTCTCACGGATAACTAGGAGATGTGTGCATTGAGAAGTGAAAGCTCTACCAGCCGCCTTTCCAAGGCGGGCTCCTTTCCCAGCCCCTCCAGCCTTGAAAGACTCTGTATTCATGCTGACCTGCTCGAAGAGCTGGGACAGTTCCCATCATCTAAGGCTTTGCTCCCACTGATACAATGATATGCCAGTGACGCTCAACCTTTTCCATACGAGGGTCCCCCAGAGCCGCCCTTCAACTCCATGTAGCAGGCTCTAGCTGGGGCTCCCCTCCCCTTTAGCAACATGGGAAGGGCAGGTGGTTGTGACCCCCGATTTCGAACCCAAGGAATACCCACTATAAAAAAGGAGGCCTTCTTTGATATCATGGATTGGGATGAGAAGTACTATATCAATACGAGATACTGCACATTGTCCCGGAACCTGTTGCCAATCGATACATACACACCTTACAAATGCAAGCACCTCTGGGGAGAAATGTAGCAGCTGTTTAAAAGGACAGTCAGGTCTAAAAATAATCATCATACGATTAAGGAAATGGAATTTCTTCCTCTCTCTTACTCGCACCACTTTAGATCACTAAAACTGAAAGAATGTTACACATCTCATTAACTAGGCACTATTTATGCTGCCTCTTTATTTTTTGTATTTTTCAGCTCAGACGAAGAAAATAGATTGGAGAGTCACAGTCAATTTCCACTAATTTCTACTCCCGAGCACTAGCACAGTGCTGCAAAGTTCTGGTTGCAAATGCTGCAAGGGAATTTTCTGGTTGCAAAAAAAGGGAGTTTCCATTGAAGTTATTTTTTTAAATATTGATAGAACTATTTTGATTGGCTGTTTTTCTTTTTTAAAAGGCTTATCATATAAAACCTAAATCTGGCGACAAATTTCACTTATCAATGTCATTGAACAGCACATGACTTCCTGGAGGGCGGCTATTGTATTAAATTAAAACAACAGGAGGAATGCAGGCACATAGAAT